TTTTTTATTTTGAGATCATGCAAGATCTCCTTGTTAAGCCAAGCTGGTCTTTTGCCATATTTTCTATCTTTCCTACACAGCGGAATTGTTTGCTTTTGGGCCCTTAACAACGTCCCTTTGAAATACTTCCAACTCTCCTCAGTTGTTTTTCCCTTCAGTCTTGCTTCCCATGGGACCTTACCTACAAGTTCTCTGAGCTTATCAAAATCTGCCTTCCTGAAATCCATTACCTCAATTGTGCTGGTCTCCCTTCTACCTTTCCTTAAGATCATGAACTCTATTATTTCATGATCACTGTCCCCTATACTGTCTTCCATTTTACTAGTTCCTCCCTATTTGTTAAAACCAAATCCAGAACAGCTTCTCCTCTGGTAGCTTTTTCAACCTTCTGAAACAGAAAGTTGTCTCCAATGCAGTCCAGAAACTTATTGGATAGCCTGTGCCTCGCTGTGTTAGTTTCCCAACATATGTCTGGATAGTTGAAGTCCCCCATCACCACCAAATCTTGGGCTTTGGATAGTTTTGTTAATTGTTTAAAAAAGGCCTCATCCACCTCTTCCACCTGGCTAGGTGGCCTGTAGTAGACTCCTAGCATGATATCACCCTCGTTTTTTACCCCTTTTAGCTTAACCCAGAGACTCTCTACACAGCTATCTCCTACGTTCATCTCCACTTCAGTCCAAGTGTGTACATTTTTAATATACAAGGCAACCCCTCCTCCCTTTTTTCCCTGTCTGTCCTTCCTGAGCAAGCCGTACCCTTCCATACCAACATTCCAATCATGTGTCCCATCCCACCAGGTTTCTGTAATACCAATGATATCATAGTTGTATTTATTGGTTAGCAATTCCAGTTCTTCCTGCTTATTACCCATACTTCTCGCATTTGTATATAGGCATCTAAGATACTGATTTGATCTTGCCTCCCTGTTGTGCCCTGACCCTCCTTTCTCCTTGCCATTATAGGCCGTAGTCCCCCCCATTTCCAACCCATCTCCCAGTCCCGCACATTCAGCACTTACCTGTGGGCTTTGCTCACCTGCAAAGGTTTGCTCACCTGCAAAGGTTTGCTCACCCTGTGGGGCAACATGTGGGCACAGAGCAGGGTGGGGATCAGAGGGGTAGGGGATGTTTTTCCCAGATAACTCTCCAGCTCTCTCTTGTTCCTGAGATGACTTTGACCTAGTATCATGTGCCCACAACTCCCAGACTGGAGACCCAGAGTGTGTAGAACCAGCCGGTATCTCATGCACCAAGTTTCCCTGCCTCTATAATTCATGAGATGACTGTTCCATGCAGAAAACATGATATAGCTAGACTTTAGTAAGGTATTCAATATGGTCTTGCATGACCTTCTTATCAATAAACTAGGCAAGTAGATCTTTGTTGGCACTACTATAACGTGGGTACATAACTATCTGGAGAACCGTTCTCAGAAAGTAGTTATTAATGGTTCACACTCCTGCTGGAAGGGCAGAAAAAGTGGGTTTCCACAGGGGTCAGTTTTGGGACCAGTTCTGTTCAATATCTTCATCAACGATTTAGATATTGGGATAGAGAGTACTCTTGTTAAGTTGGCGGATGATTCGAATCTGGGAGAGTTTGCAACTGCTTTGGAGGATAGGGTCAAAATTCAAAATGATTTGGAAAACTGGAGAAATGGTTGGAAATAAACAAGATGAAGCTGAATAAGGACAAATGCCAAGTCCTCCACTTAGGAAGAAACAATCAGTCTCACGCACACAGAATAGGAAGCGACTGTCTAGGAAGGAGTACGGCAGAAAGGGATCTAGGGGTCACAGTGCACCACAAGCTAAATGAGTCAACAGAGTGACACTGTTGCAAAAAAAGGAAACCTGATTCTCAGATGCATTAAGAGTATGTTGTGAGCAAGACATGAGGTCATTCTTAAACTCTACTCGGCACTGATTAGGCCTCAGTTGGAGGATTGTGTCCAGTTCTGGGCACCACATTTCAAGAAAGATGGGGAGAAATTGGAGAAGATTCAGAGAAGAGCAACAAAAATGAGGAAAAGTCTAGAAAACAGGAGCTGTGAGGGAAGACCGAAAGAATTGGGCTTCTTTAGTTTAGAAAAGAGAAGAGTGAGAGGAGACAGGAGAGCAGTTGTCAGGTATCTAAAAGGCTGTGAGAAGGAGGAGGGAGAAACATTGTTCTCCTTGGGCACTGAGGATAGAACAAGAAGCAATGGGCTTAAACTGCAGCAAGGGAGGTTTAGGTTGGACATTAGGGTCACACACGGTATCGGTTTTACCCCCCGTCTCTGGTCAGTGTCAGTTCCTGAGTCCCCGGAGCACCCAGCACTTTGGGGTTATGGGGAAAAGGAGCTGGCAGGCAAACAGGGCTGGAGGGTCCCAGGCAAGCAACAGAAGCTGCTTCAGTTTCTAACACGAGTTGATCAGCCGGGGTGTTTAATTGAAACCCAGATGTGGGGCCAGGCCTGCACTATGCGTCAGTGTCACAGAAACATCGACTCTGAGGCCAGAGGGGCCAAGTGATCATCTGCTCTGACCCCACTGAGCGCAGGGACCAGCCCTGAGTGAGCCCTGCCTGGCACGGGGCAGATCCTTTAGACACACCCCCAGGGCTCGTGGGAAACTGCCTGTAATGGTGCAGCCCTGTGCCCTGCTCTGGGTGCTGGGGGCCAGGATGGAGGCAGCCTGGCCTGATGGTGAGAGCAGGGCAGGGTCAGGCTGAGGGGGGTCAGGGCAGGGGCCCTTGTGGCAGCAGGACGTCACAGCTGCTCAGCCGGGCCGTTTCCTGGCTTCTGCAGCATGTCCCCTGCGTCATGTGACCCCGAGCGCTGGCTGTCCTGACAGGACGTCCTATGGGCCTGACCCCCCAGGTTCATTGAGAGGCTGGTTCATCCTCTGCTTTGGAGGGAGAGGGGGGAACATCAGAGACCCTGGTTCCCTTCCAGCCCTGCCCCTCCCAAGGGCCCTCAGCTCCTCCCGCTGGGTTCTGGGTCACCTGTACAGGGCTCAGTGCATCCACCCTGGCACCCTCCAATGGTGCAGCTGCTGAGCTTTGGCAGGAACCAGAGCTGTGCAGAGGGGCTGGGCTGCAAGGGGTAAATGGCGGGGGCTGGCTGAGGGGGTGTTAATGTTACGTGATTGGGGCGCTGGCTCTGAAGAGATTTCTGCTTCTTCCCTCCTCCTTCCAGCCAGGATGCCTGCCCCCACACTCACTGTGAGTCCATCATACCGCGTCTTCCTACCTAGGGAATCTGTGACCCTGACGTGCTCAGCTCCCAGCACTGACACCGTGACCCTGATCCAGTTCTTCAGGGATGGCCAGAAAATCAACTCCAATGTCAAATCTCATCAACTGTCGAGTGTGTCTGAGAGAGACGCTGGCGCGTACAGCTGTGAATACTGGAAGAAAGAGTCTGAGCGAGAGATCCCATCGGAGAGGAGCCGACCCATCTCCATCACAGTGACCGGTGAGAGGCCCTGTTGTGTACTATTGGCTGGGCTGGGGTCGGGGGTGTCTGCTCCATGCATGGGTGATACAGTCTGGGTGCTCAGCTCTAAACAGGGTCAGCATGGGGTCAATTTCACCCCCATCTCTGGTCAGTGTCACTCCGAGGGTCCCTGGAGCACCCGGCAGTTTGGGGTGCCGGGGAAGGGGAGCTGGCAGGGAGATGGGGATGGAGGGGGGATTCCAGGAAGCAACAGCAGCTTCAGTTGACAGTGGGACTTGATCAGCTGGGGTGCACTCAGCTCTGCACTGGGCCAGCCAGGGCTAGTGGGTCAGACCCAGCCCCCATCTCTGGTCTGTGCCAGGCCCTGGGTCTCTGGGGTAGCCCAGCCAGCAGATCCCACACACAGAGGCTCTGCCCCTGCAGTGCAATATATGGGCACAGGGCAGGGTGGGGCTCAGAGGGGTGGTGGAAGTTTTTTCCTTTGGAACTCTCCATCCCTCTCTTGTTCCTGAGATAACTTCGACCAGGTATCATAGAATCATAGAATCATCGGACTGGAAGGGACCTCGAGAGGTCATCGAGTCCAGCGCCCCGCCCTCAAGGCGGGACCAAGCTCCGTCTGCGCCATCCCTGACAGATGTCTATCTAACCTGTTCTTAAATATCTCCAGAGAGGGAGATTCCACCACCTCCCTTGGCAATTTATTCCAATATTTGACCACCCTGACAGTTAGGAATTTTTTCCTAATGTCCAATCTAAACCTCCCCTGCTGCACTTTAAGCCCATTACTCCTTGTCCTGTCCTCAGAAACCAAGAGGAACAAATTTTCTCCTTCCTCCTTGTGACACCCTTTAGATATTTGAAAACCGCTATCATGTCCCCCCTTAATCTTCTTTTTTCCAAACTAAAAAGTTCATGTGCCCACAACTCTCAGACTGGAGACCCAGAGTGTGTAGAACCAGCCGGTATCTCATGCACCAAGTTTCCCTGCCTCTATAATTCATGAGATGACTGTTCCATGTGTGACAGACCAGGCTGGTCTGGGCACAGCTGAGGGCGTCCGCTCAGGGCAAATTGCTCAAATCCAGGTCTCCTTACAGCCCCCAGACTGGTGACCTCTCCAAACAGGCCACAAACCAGTCCCACGGAGCGCTTCAGCTGCCTGCCTGAAGCCTCATGAGCAAAACCCCTCCGACACCCCAGCGATATCCACGCCCCAGATGGCCCCGGGGCTATACACAGGTGGGGGGTCCTATCACCCAGTCCCACCTACTCTGAACAAGTTCTGTCTGGTCCCAAGAAACCAGCCACAGATCCCTGGTCAATTTACCCTCTGGACCTTACCCACAAATCACGCTGGGCCAATCCTTTAGAATCTATATCTAAAGGTTTATTATTACCATAAAGAAAAGCAGGAGAGTAAGGTTGTTAAAGAATAGTACATTACATGCATCGAATCTCCCAGTCCTCAATGCAGGCTCTAGCAGAGATGTTACAGCTGCTGGCTTAAAAGTCCTTGTTGCGCATCCTAGGATCAGGATGGTTCCACAGTTCTTCCTGGCTCTTCGATCCCTGCACTGCTCCCTCTGGGATCAAGTGCTGAGCTGAGAACCAAGATGGAGTCAGCCACATGGCCTATTTATCCCTCCTTCCTGGTCTCTTCTTGGCTGCAGCTGCAGAGAAATATTCAGTATCCATACAAGTACATGCTTATAATTTCACACACAGGCATTATACAAACACATGAACAGCGTACACAGGATTAGCAGACAGTAAGGGTAAGTCTACACTACAGCACTAATTCGAACTAACTTAGTTCAAATTAGTTAATTCAAACTAAGCTAATTCGAATTAGCGCATCCAGACTTAAAAACTAGTTCAAACTAGCATTTTTCTAATTCGAACTAGCATGTCTACACTGAGTGGACCCTGAACCGAGGTTAAGGATGGCCGGAAGCAGTGCCGGCAGGGCATCAGATTAGGACTTAGAGCGTGGAGCTCCTGCCGCAGGTTAGCCGAGGGCTGTGCTTAAAGGGACCCGACCCCCACCCCGGACAGACAGTTCTCAGGGTTCCCCGCTTGCAAAGCAGTCCTGGCTTGGAGTGCCCTGAGTGCCCACACTCGGCACATCACAGCACTCGGCCATCAGCCCGGCTGCACTTGCCGCAAGCTGCCATCCGGGAAGGGGAGTTATTCGGGGGGCTGTAGGACAGCTTCCACCCTGAGGAGCCCTCAGAGCCACCCCAGTCCTCCCCATCGGGGGCTCGTACCCCATTCCTCCCTCACCTCCTTCCACTTACCCCTCCCTAGCCCCCCTTCCTGATGTACAAAATAAAGGACACATGTGTTCAAAAACAGAAACTCTCTTTATTGAACAAAACTGGGGGAGACTGGGAAAAGGAGG